TATGATTAATAGAGAAGCATTGGATTAAGTGCATTGACAAGGAAGGAGATTATGTTGAAAAATATTTGTTGTGTAAAATAAATGCTTTTTTTCGTCATTAGGCTACAGACTAATTGATGTACCTACATATATGATTAATAGAGAAGCATTGGATTAAGTGCATTGACAAGGAAGGAGATTATGTTGAAAAATATTTGTTGTGTAAAATAAATGCTTTTTTTCGTCATTAGGCTACAGACTAATTGATGTACCTACATATATGATTAATAGAGAAGCATTGGATTAAGTGCATTGACAAGGAAGGAGATTATGTTGAAAAATATTTGTTGTGTAAAATAAATGCTTTTTTTCGTCATTAGGCTACAGACTAATTGATGTACCTACATATATGATTAATAGAGAAGCATTGGATTAAGTGCATTGACAAGGAAGGAGATTATGTTGAAAAAATATTTGTTGTGTAAAATAAATGCTTTTTTTTCGTCATTGGGCTACAGACTAATTGATGTACCTACATATATGATTAATAGAGAAGCATTGGATTAAGTGCATTGACAAGGAAGGAGATTATGTTGAAAAATATTTATTTTTGTAAAATAAATGCTTTTTTTCGTCATTAGGCTACAGATAATTGATGTACCTACATATATGATTAATAGAGATCATTGGATTAAGTGCATTGACAAGGAAGGAGATTATGTTGAAAAATATTTGAATTGTAAAATAAATGCTTTTTTTTTTTCATTAGGCTACAGACTAATTGATGTACCTACATATATGATTAATAGAGAAGCATTGGATTAAGTGCATTGACAAGGAAGGAGATTATGTTGAAAAATATTTGTTGTGTAAAATAAATGCTTTTTTTTCGTCATTAGGCTACAGACTAATTGATGTACCTACATATATGATTAATAGAGAAAATTGGATTAAATTGACAAGGAAGGAGATTATGTTGAAAAATATTTTTGTGTAAAATAAATGCTTTTTTTCGTCATTAGGCTACAGACTAATTGATGTACCTACATATATGATTAATAGAGAAGCATTGGATTAAGTGCATTGACAAGGAAGGAGATTATGTTGAAAAATATTTGTTGTATAAAATAAATGCTTTTTTCATCATTAGGCTACAGACTTATTGATATATTGATATAATAATTATTTTTTAATCCCAATTGAAAATTTATTCAAGAAGAACTTGACCTAAAAATCTAATCCCATTCCTTCACGTTATATAATTTCTGTATTTACAAATTGCAACATCTATCAGAGAGATAAAATTTAAAGTTTTATTATTGCATCATTCCAGAATTTTAAAATATCAGCAGATAGCTATTAATGTCAACAACTGGGCACAAATAGTTATTAATTAAAAAAAATTAGTAATTAATGCATACAAAAACCAGTGCTTGGAACAGCCTCACTTTGAAAAACAAGCCATGGCAAACACTCAGCTTCCTACATCTGACTGCAACCCCACCCACGCAGGTAATTTTACTTATTTTTCCACAATATAGCTATTTTTACTATGTTAGTACTTAAACAATGATAATATGGAATAAATTTTTTTTTAAACATTAAAGTATATTTAATCAAATCTCCCTAATATCTGCCATGATCTGCAAGTAGTGAATGATTCAAATTATCAATTTAAAAAAAACAGTTTTATGACTGCACAGTTTTAATTCATTAAAAGATAAGTTTTCAAATATCCTGGCAAAAAGTATCAATACATTTTCTCAGGCAACAGGAACGTTCAGGCATAAAAAATATTTAGAAGAAAAAGTGGACACGCATTTTCCCATCAAAATAATCAAGTAATTAAATCTTTCCATCATTAAGAAAGAAAGTAAAATTCTTTATAGCTTAATGAAATAGTCAATGCAAAAGGAATTATACAAATTTAAATGCAAACTTTCTTTTCTGTGTTCATTTGATATTTGAAAAATTTACTAACTGCATTGAATAACGATCAATGAATTGTTTGATAAGGGTCAGACTGTGATAAATTACCAGCTGTTCCTTTTCTGGCAAAAAAATCTGATTTTCTCATGAAAAAAAAAATCAATAGGTCTTATCTGATTGGTTAAGTCCTGCCAATAAAGCAGCCAGTGATCAGAGGGTGGTGAAAAATTCTCGGTGGTTTTTAATTAAGCAATAAAAACCAGATAGAAAGAATAACACTTTCATCTCCATATTTCATCAGTGAGAAGTAAATACTCAAACAGATTCTTCCCAGGAACTACTACTCTGTGGAACAGACTCCCAAGTGGATCTTAACCTGTGAAAGTCTAGAGTTAACTTTTATTTTCCTCTCATATCCATATAAACTACTCCTTAACATAAACTTGAGTGGCCCCTGGGCCTTGTACAGGGTGAATCTCACTGTAAAAAAATATATATATATATTATATCTTGCTTATTTGTTAAGTAGATTTCATATCATAAAGTGAATAAAAAGGAGAGAGGACAACAAAAGAACAGGAAGTAAGAAAACATTAGATAACAATTGACATTGCATTTAAATTTTTGAAGATCAAAGTTGACTGGAAAGCAAGAGGTCAGAAAAGAGTTCCACTAGTGAGAAGTTTAAGAGAAGAAACTGATAGCATAGAACTTAAGTAACATCTAACCATTTCAACTGTAAACTGCTGAGACCTAACTGCCAAAGCACTAAGGAATAAAACTCATCAGTTGCCAAGAAAATTTTTATAGGAAAGATAGAGTAGAGCCACATCACAAAGATAAGAAAGTGACTGAAGCCGAGATGCCAGGTCAGGTATTTTAAAATGATGAGGAAGCCTGTGCTGTTATATTTTTGATGCAATATGAAAAAGGAAATTTTTCAACAAAGATCAAATTTGCTTTCAATGGCAACCTTACAGATTCTCAAGAATCTTGAGGTATATAGTCAGAGCACCAGACTAGATATGGCAGCAATATTCAATGCATGTACAACTGGTAGATTTATACATGTGCAAGATAGATTATGATAAGAAACATTGTTTAGCATGTCACTGTGAACCAACTTTCCTAACAGTAGACCTAACAATTGATTTAATATAATCCTTCAACTTCATATCAGCAGAATGGAGGTTAGCATCAGCCATGCTGATGTAAGGTAGAAATGGGTCTTTATGATGAATAAACAAAAGCAGTTTTGTTTTGGAGGCTGTAAAATCTACAAGCCATTTCTTGCCCTAGTTAACCACTGATTGGAGGTTCTTTTCAAGAGTAGTTGCTAGATTTACCTTGTTGGATCTGTCGGACTTGTTACTAAGACAGGAGTAAATAGTCGTGTCATCTGATGAAGATAAGAAACAACATAAATTCAAGAACAGGACCCCAGGAGGACACCCACATTAATGTGAAAAATCTAGAAATGTAGCCATTCAACATTACTTTCATTTATCAAGAATTGTAGGTCAAATATAATTATATATATTAAATATATAATATCAGTTAAATATTTAACCAGAAACATCGTAGCCATTGAACTTGTGAAAAGGGACAGCATGTTAAACCCTATCAAATGCCTTTGAAATGTCTAAAGCCGCAGCACAAGCTTTATCATTTTTATCTAAAGCTTGATAGACAAATTTAATAACACATTGGTGGGAGGCCTAGAGAAATGAAACCCACATTGTTCATCTAACCAATTCAGAGTTGATCCAAGCTTCTATTTCGTACTTTGTCAAAAGTTATCAAAAATTTTGTTATTGAAAAATTTGCTTAAATTAAAACCTGACAATGTTAAATAAATCTGAACACACTGGCATTTATTTAAAATTATCTGATTTTAATTTCTACAAATTTTTCAATAACAGAATTGAAATTTCTCTCAATTGGATGTGTGGGTAGTGTAACTGATATCTGTATGGAAAGTGAAATTGGTGAACCAAGTTCAAATTCTGTTGCATTAACTTTCATACTAATGCCATTGGAAAAGGCATGAACCTGTATCTGCTTCACCCAATTATGAGTTAAATGGCAAGGTAAATTGGACTCTCTATCTTTAAGTTGCAACCAGTCTAAAAGAAGGAAAACTTTGAATTACAAACTAGAAGACAATGGGAGACCATGTCACTATATTTCCCAAGAAGTTATGAGAATTCAAAGATAATAAAGAAAAGGAATCTGTGGAGAAGGCAATGGGAAGCAATTCCACTGTCTTTCTCAAGAAGTTATGGCAATTCACAGATAATAAATAAATAAATCTGTGGAATATCATGATTATCTCCATTCTGAAGGGAAGTAGAATTTTTTTAAATATAGCATTAAATATATTTCCCTTTAATTACATAGCTACCCTGTGTGTTTTTATTAATATTTTCATGGCAATTGTACCAATGAGTTTCGTCCTTCGACTTCATGAATTTAAGCATAGCAATAGATTACCAATAAGTCTCATCATTTTATTGTTGAAATTGCTAAATGTGACTGTAATTTCTATTCTAATAGATTCTTCTCTTGCATTTCATGCCAATGGAACTCTCTTCCATTTTCTTGCTTTCCTGTCAACTATAATCTAAAAATTTTAAATGCAATGCCAATTACCATTTTCTGTCTAATTTGAGTCCTTCTCTTTTTATGGTCCTTTCTCCTCAGTAATGTTTTCTCAGTTCCCTTCACATTATTGTCTTTCATCCCCACTAATCCCTTGCATTTTAGTGACTTTATTTCATTGCCTGAGAGTAAAAGGATTAAAAAAGAAACATTATATTGGTGTTATCTTAAAATTCAATATATGTATGTACTTGGGTGTGGACAATACTGGACTGATGGAAAGAAATACAAACAAATTAGGTGTATAAAATTTGATTTTCTCAAGGCATTACACATGCCATGCTACTGTTTCAAAAGGCAAATATGAAACTAATTTTCAGAAAACACCTGCTTTCATTTTGTTCTCAGACAACACAAAGGTTATTTATATTACTTGCACTAAGACTGATATCCTCATCTTTGTTGCTATTTTCACAATGTTTTGGCCATTCTCACCTGCAGACTTCTAGTGTTTGCCAGAGAGATTTAGGGTTAGTGTTATGAACAGACCAAGATAGATAGATAGATAGATAGATAGATAGATAGATAGATATGGTAATAACAACAAAGATGAGGATATTATTCTGAATATAAATAATGATAACACCTCATCCCAGAAATTCAAAGAGAAACAAATTTTTTTTATTAAAACCTTTGCAAATAAATTTTTTAAGGTCATGAGTCAGCTGATTACAATAAGAATTTAATCTAAACACTGATCAAGTCTAGATATCCTTGCCTATGTTTGAGTGTGTACAAAATAGTGAAAAGATTCATCATAAGTTACTAAGTATAGAATAGTCTGACATAAGGCCACAATTCTGGGGTACCTGTGAAAATTGAACTCTATCCCAGTGGTCAGCAGAATGAGCCTAGTTTCCATTACCCAGGGCCAAAACAGCGAAAGGACAAGCTTGTTCACTATAATTCTCAGTCAGAATGTATTTGCCAAATGTAGTCTAATGTAAGGATATATATGAACAGACTGAAATAGATATATACGAACATAGATATGATCAGACTGAGATAGAGATGAACAGAATGTGTGAGAGATAAATAGACTGAGATAGATAGATAGATAGATAGATAGATAGATAGAGATAGACAAAGAGAGAGATGATATGAACAGATAGTATGATAGACAGATAGGAACAGACTTAGATAGATTGATATGAATGGATAGAGATAGATAAAAAGATAGATATGTACAGACTGCAATAGATAAATAGATATGAACAGATTGAGATAGATAGAGAGATAGTTATAAATAGACAGAGATAGGTAAAAAGATAGATGGATTAGCACTAACTACAAAGAATAACATAAAAAAGGCTTTTAGCAAATTAATAATACTTCCCCCCAGTTCATTTAATGAATCCATAAAGAGAATTATAATTATCTGTCAACTATATAAATATAGATGATTTGTCAATTATATAAATATAGATGAATGCTTGATTCCATACTGAGCCTCCCTCCTTTCAATGTGGCCTTGTACTTGACTAAATGAAACCCAGTAAATATCAACAAAATGTTCAACTCAATGTGATGAATTGCTGGGTAAGTACAAAAGTAAAAATAATTCCAACCAGCAAAATATCCATCAGCAGTTGCAGAAAACTTAAGATATAAAAAATTCCAAGATGTAAATGTATGAAACCAAAAAAGCTTTTCTATCTTTTAGGGCTTGGAATCAAGTAATGCAATCACCAGTTGGCAAGGTTACGCTTCTATAGATTCTATCTCGGCCTTATCTGCCACATCTTGGGCAAGACACACAAACAAGGTTTATTTCTATCGTTCATCATGTTTTTTTTACCTGATATCAAAGCATTCACTGCATAGACTGAGCAAATATATTTTCAAGGAGAAATTCAAAGATGAGTTTTCAGAACAGAAGGAACAGATTTGATTATGGCATGATTCTTTCCTGACCCTGAGTTGCAAGTTTGGCTTATTTCCAAAAAGTAGCTATTTAAAGTTTTAGCAAATGTACTATCTATATTTCTGCAATAACTGTAAAATTGTTGCTGTATCATTAAAGTTCTGTCTTTTCTGGGTAAGACGATAAACTGCATCCAAACAGCAAGGCCTCTGATCAGGAGGTTTTGAGGAACATGGAACCACCTCTTAATTGTTGGTGTTCCCAGATCCACCCTGACCTGTGGTGGTAGAACCTGTTAGGGTCACACAGCTTTGGGCAAATAGTTAACCCCTAAACTGAGTTCAAAACACTATGAATGTATAAATATCGGTTTTAATACCAGTAATACATTTTTGAAGAAAAATATTATTACTAGCAATACATTTTATGGGAATGAAGAAAATATCACCAGCAAAAATCTTGTCGGCATAAAATAACCCATTGAGATTGATATGCCGTAAAATAAACCAAACCAAAGTTCTGTGTATTCATCTAAGTTTTGGTTGAGAAAAATAAAAGTCTGAATGAAAGAAAGAAAAATGACAGCAAATCTTCAACAGCAGCAGCAGTCAATCATGACAGACAGTAGTAGCAGCCCCACCAATCAGCAGGCAGGTTAAGTTCAAGGTTCTAAATTCACCAGTGAATTGTCCTCCAGGACATTAAAGCATTAGTTTGTGAATTTGGTGAATTTTGTAATTGTGAGTTCAGTACTTGGGCCAGGCAGGGTACACTTGGAATCAGTGGAAACAGGAAAGCAATAATTGGGCAGTACTAAAAAAATAAGAGCTAGAATGTGAAACAAAAACAATCTACCCCCATAGATTAAATAAAGGGTTCAGTTCAGAATTCACTGTATCCTATCCAGATCGATATACACTTGATGAAGGCTACAGGGCACGATGGCTGAAACATTGTGATAATAACAATAAGGATAAGGACAACAGTTCAAGTATAAAAAAGGTAAATAAAAAAGGCTATTATTTTAAGCTTAATTGCTTTATTAATTGGCCATATAAAATCCTTTTTTAAGTGGATTATCAAAGCATTTGATTTAATGCCTAATTCCCTCCCTGGGAGCCAAGTGCATCCTAATTTGAGAATCAGTACTTTAGAATAAAAAAAGTGAAATAAAACGATGAGGAAGACTGTGCTGTTATATTTTTGATGCAATATGGAAAAGGAAATTTGTCAAAAAGTTTGTTTTCAATCAATTACAGGATCTGAACACCAACCACAAATCCAGAGTTTTTTTTTTTATTTCATTAGATCGATTTTGCAGTAAATCTGGGATGATATTTTTTAAGAGTTGCTTATTTGCTTAGTGCTTCTCACACAAAAAAAGCAAGGACAAAGGTTCATTTAAATATATGTCCACAAATTCTTCATTTTTGAGTTATTAAGTTTAAAGAAAACCCCACATCCATTACCATTCATGCGGTCATATGTGAAAATCATATCTGCCTTCTCATGATACAAATATTCTGCCATTGTTAAATGGAACAGTTCTCAGTTAACTCACTACTACATACATTAAACGTTGATGATAGACTAGCCACAAACATACACGAATGACAAACGTAACCTAGTCTATATGGCAAGACAGCGCCATGTACTATAAACTTAATAACTTGCAAACATATGTTTATATGGACATTTGTCCTTGTTTTGGCGTGAAGTAGCCACCCCAAAAGTTTGTAAAAGTATTTTTGATACACCCTATATATCATCATCATCATCCATGGCAATTGCAAACTAAAAAACTCTCATCATCCATAGATTATCAACTATGGTTAAAGATTCATTTTTTCAATTGCCAAATTTTAAAATATTTTGGGGCACGTCATCATGCCACAGAAATTAATTGTTGCCATTACAAATATCAGACGATTAGCATGTTCCGATATTATTTTTGATACAAATGACTTTATAATAGGAAATAATTTTCAGTAATGTATGTATTCTAACACTGTGGATGCTTCAGTGGAGTATAGAGCCACAGCCATACCACACTTGAGCCACAGCCTCACTACACTAGCTGCTGTGGTTTCTGTAGCAGGTAGATTTTTATGAGTGGAGCTGCTAGCCCCATGTCCAACTGGTTTTGAATTTATAGCAGTCCTTCTCCTAGACTGGTTGTCAACCGAGGTGTGATAGCACTGTCTGCTTCACTATTAATTCCTAGCTAGCATGGAGAAGAGATGGAGCCATCCCTTTTCAAGGATATTTGAGCGAAAGTGAATGCCTCAGCTTCAAATGGGTTTGATTTTTTTATATGGAGGTAACCTTTGTAAAAAAAAACAAAAAAAAACACAAAGACTGGTCATTATGAGTCAGATGAAACATTTTGATTTCTGCTTGAAAGAGAAAAAAAGAGAGAGATTAAAAAAAAAAAAACATGTATTTAGAAGAACTGATTTTTCTATTAAAAAAATACTTCTCTCCTTCCTTCAGAATGACAAAAAAAATCACAACAATGAATGTATGCTGTTTCCCTGCTTGAATGACTCTCTACTTAAAATAATAGATGTCTTGTCAGACATTTTTTTTTTGTCCTGGAGCAAGGATAAACCAAACTAAATAAGAGAAAATGCTTAATGTCTATTTTTTTTTTAAAAAAAAACAAAAACAAACTAAGCACTACAAATGAAAGAACATAATTAAATGGAAAAATTAGAAGTGGTTTTCAATGTTTAATAATAAAAAAGAAAATGAAGCTTGCAAAGTGAATGGTTGTTTGCTGAATTTCGAATCCCATTCAACAAAAACAGTGAAAATGATCAGAGAGGAAAGAACAGACAGCCAATTTTCAAGGACATAAAAACATGCTACACAAAAGTCGCAAAGAAAGTCTCAAAGAAAGGCTGAAAAAGTAAACAACACGTTTGTTTTGTTTCTCAAGAAAAAAAACAAATCTGGAAATTCTCATATTTATTTAAGTTAATCCATTTCATTTTATGGAGACCTACTTTTAGAATTTTAAGAATCAACACAAACACTGAATTCTGGTAAACTGACTCAGTTGAATGGGTTTTTATTTAACCTCCCACTTGGAAAGGAATATGATAAAAGACCATTTTTTAAAGTGTGAATCCCCTGCATACATAGGATTAGTGATGAAACTGAATAATATTTGGACCCGAGTGATTACTAGCTTAAAAGCCAACCGATTGGGTGGCATTTAAGCTAGCTCTTGTGGAGGGGGCTTGATTAGGCTTTCATCACAATAGATAGAGAGGAGTAAATGTGACAGCAAACACTAAACTACAAAATTGATTGCGGCATTTAAGTATTGCATTAATATTTAAGCTTATCTTTTAAAAGTTCAACAATAATTCTTCTGGCCACTTAATTTAAAGACAATTTCGTCCTTACTTTCCATACAAATAATTATGTTTATTTCATGAGTGACTTTCGTTGGGCTTCGCAATTAATTTCAATTGTTTCCAAATTTATTTCTAAGTTATAAAAATTGTTATTATATAAAAAAAATTTGTGGCAAAAAACACGTAAAAAAATTCACTGAAAACAATCACAATAATGAAAACTTGGGAATTCAAAATTTCAGGATTGTGGGTCCATATCTGTCCCAGAATATTTCTAATTTGCTCACAGACTTGGCCTGATTCCAAAATGGTATGATATGTTGGGCTACAGCCTCTAAGAGTAAAGTTGAAAACACGGACAATTTTATTTTGAAACACTGTAATTTGAGAATGGTAATTTTTTTCATTTGAACATAAGATATAGAAAGTTAGAGAGTTGTATCCCTTTAATTGTTTTTATCAGTAAAAGCCAAGATGGCAGAATCTGAAAACAATTGCAGTAATGAAAATTTGGGAATCCTAAGTTTCAGAGTTGCAGGTCCAGATCCAGTGTGTGTGTGTACATATGTTCATTTCATTTCCAGTAGACATAAATGTTGCAAGATTGAAATAAAGTTATAAACATTTGTTGAAATTCCTTTCATCTGCCTCTTTTTCTTTCAAGTATATCCGCATAGGGCTCTAGTCAATGTTTTTCTTGGAAAGTCCCCACGACCAACTTTTTAAGAAAAATCTAACATTTTTTGTTCTTAATTTTAAAAAAAGTTCTTTTTTTGAAATTGAAGGCAAAAATTGCTGTGGATGTACGTGGCTTGTTTTTTTAAGGGCACCTTGGCATTTTGCCATGGTGCCATGGTCTAAAGTGTTAAATGACTGAGAAGGATATGATATGCCGTTAAACAAACAAGTCAATCATTTAAAACCAAAAAATCGTTATTTAGATTGCAAGAGGTTTTTTGGGATATAAATGATTTGTTGATATGATTCCTACTAATTAACCCATAGATATGGAAAGCAGAGGTGGATTTGTACCTTTTCCCAAGTGCATAAGTTAATAT